AAATCACGAGTCCTGTTTGGGTCATATTTCATTGGCTTTTTCTTAGAATTTTCTTCAATTCTTTTTGCATATCTCCACTTCTCCGTTACATGTGGAGTCAATTACTTTTTTCAGTAAGAAGGGAGAGACTCTTTGTAAGTCTCCACCTTTACTTTCTTTGCATTAAAAAGTATTTGCACCTGGTGTTATGTTTTTTAGTTCACGTTTTTTTGTCATTCATTATTGGAGACTCTTTTCCGTTTGTCTCATACTCCAATGTATGTAACGGAATGGCAAATATTTTGTGAAATTTGTGATTAAAGAACTTTTTGTTTTCTTTTCTTTCTTTTGCCTTTTTAAATAAAATTATGATTGGGTTTAGTTAAACAAATTTTACACTATTGATTTCGGTTAGTTTTTCTTTTTTTATTTAGAAGGATATTCTAAAATATAAACATTTAATCTCAAAGTCACGTTAATGCCAAAGTTAAAAAAAATGTATTGGAAAAAAGTCGCTTCAAATGGCATTCGAAATCATCCGTTGCATTTTTGTGTATTCAGGAAATGTTTTGCTTGGATTGTATTACTGAGGAGAAAAAAATGCAAAAACTCAGAAAGATTGGCTAAAACGGACATTTCTTCCCTGCCATCAGCGCAGCATAAGCCTGGGGTTTCTAATTGAGACCTAAATGCATTATTTCTGGCAATGAATGCTACTGGCAATTAAACGATATCAACGCTTCGAGATCCTATTCATTTCTTTCTACACGTTTCTTTTGCGTTTAAGAATCATATACATACTGACTAATTATTGCGCGGCGTTATAAGACATTATTCCAGGAAATAATTCTCTTAAAATGCATAATATATTTCGACTAACTGGTATGTCCAGGAGTTGTCCATGACCAAAACGTGATTAATTTGGAACAGAGTGCCCTAGTGTTAATCTTATGCCACCAGACGAAGAACTCATATGGAAAGACCACTATGGCATACATCCAGTGTACGACTCTAAGCCACCAACTCTTCCCTATGGCGTTCCTGCATAAATAGAACAGTATTGGTATTTAATTTGGGATACAGTAGTTATTTTTGTTGTTGTTGTTGTTGCAGTAGAGTTAGGCTATATCCCAGTGTTGTTGTTTTTATAAATACAAAATTTATTTATTATTTTCTATTAGCCTATCCACTAGTAAATAAACGTCCTCTTCAATAAAATAAAAACAATTAAAAAAGCCGGGCACAATTTTCTGTCTTAGCCTGTGAATAATGTCGCTAATATTATCAAAATACCGAATATCGGGTGGTACGGAATGACGAACTTAATACTATATATACCCTCCATACTATATATGGTGGAGGGTATAAAAAAGTAATGTTTTTTAGGGTATAAAAACGTAAACGTTGTTGCCGAATAACCCACTTATATAAGTAAGCTATCTTCTACATTACTAATAGGAGGAAATAAATGTTATTTCGAGAATCTGCTTTGGCAAACGAAGAAAAATATGCAATACCAACAGCGGATAATTTTAAATTCCAGCAGTCGTCCGCCGCAACATATAGCGAAATACTGTTATAAGGCGGCCATAAGAAAACATGGGCTTCTATTGACAGTGATCTGCCACAGAAGTTAGAATACATTACAAACCTTACTTAAATTTACACAATTCCTTTTAAAAATGAAGCTTAATTCGTGGGGAGGTACAGTAATATAGGGCAATAAGAAAACGTGGATCCATACTTACTAACCGTTACTAAATCTAAGTACCTAATATTAAACAATTCCGCTCGAAAGCTTGGTTTCAATCGTGGGGAGGTACAGTGATATGGGGGCTACAAGAAAATGTTGAGCAATATAGACAATATTCTGCCACACGAGTAGAACCCGTTAAAAGCTTTAAGTACTGCATTTTTAACAATTGAGTTAGATAATGTAATCTAAGTCGTCAAAATACCGAATATCGGGAAGTGCCGGTGTATGAGGACTACAGAAAAACGTATACGTATATAAGTTTTGCCACAAGAAATAGAACTCATTACAAAATCTATCTATACCGAGTTGGAAACAATTCCATTAATGTTGTTCGAATTCCTGAAATACCGAATACAAGGAAGTACAGATATATGGGGTATGCCAGATAACGTGGAGCTACAAGAGCTAGAACTCGTTACAAACTTTACGTACCGAATTTCAAACAATTCTAAAAATCAATTTTCATTGATCAGAATGTCCTTCAAATATTCGTTAAACAATCTATAATTGGTCCTTCAAAAAGTCTTTTAAAAATTGCGTTTCATTGATCAGAATATTCTTCAAAAAATTCCTTAAAAAATCCAAACATTCTACCTCAGATCGTCGTTCGAAAATGTCATTTAAGGAACAGTTTAAAAAATTCACCGCTCTTGAAAAATTCTTGATAATTGCTTAGAAAATTCTTAGATAAGTTCTTGAAAAATTCCGCCCGTTTGCTTAGTGTATTCTCTGAACAAATTCTATAAAAATCACCAATTATTGATAGGTGTGTCCCTTATATTATTATTGCACAGTAACTACTCCAAAAATTAATCATAGAGTCCCTCAGAAAATTCTTTAAAAATTAACATATCTGGCTCGAAGGTCCTTCAAAAATCTATAAAATTTGCAAATGGACCATGCAAACATTGTTCGAAAATCAAAGATTATTGCTCTGAGAGTCCTTAAAAATTGTACTTTAAAAATCCACGAAGAATCCATGATATGATCTAAATTGTCGACATACTAAATATCGGGAGGTACTGTTTTAAGGGGCTATATGAAAATGTGGACATATATAGACGGTGATCTGAAACAGGATAAATTTATATTGCATAAAAGCATATATATTTTACAAAAGAAAAAATTTATCTTATTTTTAACTGTAAACATTTATATATTTTATCTATATATTTACAATACTTTAATATGTTTACAATACTTTAATAAAGTAACCTTATTTTATATCTGATTCTTGATATGAATTTCAATATAATGAAGTATTCAGAAATCGTACCTATGTCAAACTTCGTAAAAGCCTAACTTTATGATCGATCACAAAATAATATCTATAAATGTCTTAAATTGTTCGCGAGTAGAGAACAGACCTTTCCAGAACCTCAAATGTCAAGTCTCAGCTAATTTGGTAGGAAATTGTGGGGCGAAACCTTCAAAATACCGAAATTCTGTACCTCTCTTTCTCTCTAGATCATGAATGTAATTCCTTACTTGCCTGGGAAGTTTTTTATCCACCAGATGGCGATTGAGATGATTGTGTTTACAACAGCCAAAAAATATTGCATCGGCAGCATTTTATTGTAGGTTAACTAACCCGAGCATCTCTTCGAATCTCTTACTTCAAAGCCGTACAATGAGACAGGTCTCCGATCAACGCTTTTCCAGGATTCGACAGATGTTCTTTCTACTTTTTCTACTTATGCTTGTCAACTAACTTGTTTACCTCCAGAGTTAGTTCCCTTACTATGTAATTATTATAATTTGCTCCACTGCTTCTGCTGGGAAATTAGGTCTTATTTCAAGTATTCGACCATCAGGTATAAGTGAGTGGCTGAAGCTTTGTTTGATATATTCTTTGAATTCTTGCCAATTGGCTTTGACGTGGTTAAGGAAAATGTGGGGTTTAGAGTAGGTCGGTCTGTTGATGGCGACGATAATGGGGAGGTGGTCTAAGTATAATGAAATGACGGACTGACAGGTTGTGTCAATTTTCAGACCAAAGGACACGACGTATTCTTCCGGTGAGCTGTGGCAGTTTCCTCTTATTTTGGCGTGCACTGTGCAAAACGTTGGGCTATCAATTTGCTTAGCCAGCGTTATGTTCCGCTTGTCATTACCTAGGACGGAATGCAATAATTTATGATGGACATTGAAATCCCCTAGCACCAGACGGTTGTTGCCTGCCAGAAGAAACTTCAGTGATGTGTTGGGCATATAACGCGGGACACAGGTATTTAACGGCAGAACGTACATGTTAAGTACCTCCACCTCGGAGGTTCCACATATGATCGCTATTTTATACTGTAGATGACAATTGTCTACTTTTAAAAATAGGCAGGGTAGGTGATCTAATATACGGCAAGTTCCAGTAGTCAGCAGTTTTTATTTTTCAATTCAAATAAATAAGATTCTTATGAATAAGTGCGACATGGGACCATCTTTATGGAAAACTTCGTTCAGGAGAGATGATTATTTCTATTAAAATGTACAATTTGTCAGCGATGATTCTTCACAACAAGCGAGATAAAGTATATTCTTAAGAAAAAATAGTCAAGGCGTCTTCTAAATTAACATATTTAGCTCTTCTAAAATAACATATTTTCACAAGGTTTGTGGCTCGTACGAACAGAAAAAAAAACAAATTAAAAATTTTCAAAAATAGTATAGCCCCCATATGAAGGAATTCCGGATACTCGGATTTTTTTGCGTCATTATTCACCAGAATTGTAACAAATTTCGTATTTACAACCTATGGCAAAAAAAATCGTATGTAGGTCCACGTCTTCGTATGGCCCCCATATAACGGTACCTCCCGATATTCGGTATTTTCATGATTTTAGCGGCATTATTTACCGGAATTATTTCAAATTTCATATTTGATGTTCGTAATGGGTACTACAGCTTATTACAAAAATAATCGTAAGCAGGTCCACGTCTTCGTATGGTTACCATATAACGGTTTTCAATTAAGTGGTAGTTTTCAGATTTATTTGAAAATTTTCAAGTTCCTTCAAATGGTGGAGGGTATTGAAAGTTTTTTTATTTTTTTCTTATACAATTTTTAAACATTCTATTCAATTGTGAATAAATTTTGTAGTAAAATACTGTACTGCAAAATTATGTTAGAGGATTGCATTGTATTTACTGCAGAAATTTATGACGGTCTAATATAATGAACAAAATTTGAATATGTATTTAGTCAATTTATATTATACGCAAATTTAAACAATTATACAATTATTTACTGATACGTTTCTTTTTTATTTAGGCACAAACGACGCCAATGGCTTTGCCCCATCATTTATTGAGAAACCAAAAATTGTACCAAATGATTCCGGTACACTTATAACTATGAAGTGTCGTTGCAAAGCCAAGCCCGAACCTACTGTTACATGGTACAGAGGCAAGGAGGTAGTAAACAAATCGAAAAAAATTGGAATTAAAACAGCACCCATTGGTGAGGACTCTTACGAACTTACACTGGAAATTAAGGTATAAAATAAATAACATAATTTATTATTGTTGTGACTAAAATAATTCCTGTGTAACAAATATAATATAATACGATTTCTGTATCGGCCCTCATATTTATACTTTTCGTAACAAAGAGAAAATAGAAAATAATTATTGAAATTATTGTTTTTCTTCCATTTAACAGTTTTATCTTTCATTTAACAATTTTCATTCATGTTTTGAACTTGTTGTATAAATGCTGACATTTTGCATATATATTTTGTATTTTTCTGTTTTTAAATTCGGTTGGAGAGTCACTTGTCAAACAAATTTTTGTCGATACAAAACTGTTGAAAATATTTCCTCTCTTGTTTCCAGTTTTCTGTCGAAATTTAAACTTGTGAACAAAAAGCGTAACTCGGATGAGAGAGAGAACAAAATGTACTTTCGTTTGAATGCACATACGCCATTCAATATTATATCTTTCATTGATAATTTTCAGTCTTCTTGAAAAAAATTTAACTTTTATTAAATTTTTTGGAATTTTGAAATGTCATAATTTATTTTTTCGATAAATGCTCTCATTTGTTAGGGATGGCACACATTTCATCGTAGTTCTGAGAGTGATTTGAATGGAACAAAGAACAAAAATCTTTGTTCGCTCAGAAAATTTTGTTTGGGGAATCAGTAGTAAATATTTTATAATTAATGGTCGAACAACGAATATAGGGCGAATCACTTGCCATGTGAACTTAGCATAAGAAACAGTATCTTAATACACTTTTATTTAATTTTTGTGTCCATAAAATTATTGACATAGCTTTCTTTCATTTATCATCATATCATATAATGACGATATAAATATCTTGTCAAAATAATATACAGGGTGAGATGAAACAACTGCAACCAACTTCAGATTGCTGTCCGACAGCTCTTAAATTTTTCCAGTGGCAGTTCATTTTATTGTTTACATGATAGTGTGATTTCTTTATATTTGGCTGAAAACCACAAGTGGCTTATCTCACCCTGTAATTTTTTAAACTTAAACATTGTATGTTAGTAAAAGCTAAATAATTCAAAACGAAGAAGTTGCAGGCTTTTTATTGGGCTACCTCATGCTTTTATTAAGATTTATAACAATTAATTATCATGTGATTTTTGTTTCAAATTGTTCTTTAACAAAATTTGCTGTTACCAATGATAACTATAACCAGTGACATATAAACTTCATCTCTGTATTAAAAAGGAGCCAATGATTGTACTAATTTTTCTGCCAAATTTCATTATTAAAAATTAAGCATACACAGTAAATATTTCTGTTTTGACGAGAAATTTAACGAAACATATTTTAAAGCTTTTAAGTGTTTTCCTTTTTTATGGATTACTACTCAGGGATAGAGACAGAGAAATAATTTTTTTAAATTCATTTACGGTATAAAAATACTTGCTCGATTAACTTTTAAAACGTTGTGATAAATGAAGGCTAAATATATGATATTTATTACAAATATTTATATAAAAACATATACAAGATGTTTTATTTATTGTATGGTTTGGCAATAAATGTTAAAAATAAATGCAAGATGGAGGTATTACACAAAATCAAGGCCATAGTTTACTGATGTATTGCACTAACAACATTGTAAAATTATTTGTGAAAGGTTCGTTGCTACAACTAAATTTGAATATTTTTAAAGGAATTTTAACATTAACGATTTCGTTAAAATTTGAAAGGATAAGAAAATTAAATAAGCTAGTACTATAATCAACTATGTGATATTTGTACCATAGTTGCAATTAATGTAATATGTTCTGCCAGCCTAGTCTGGTAGCCTTATAAATAAACTTTAGTTTGTGTGTAGATACAGAAGTAAACGATTTTGTATGAATATTATTCATGATTTGACATATGTAATTTTATAGGATCCAGGTGCAGCCGATGGTGGCACATATCGTTGCAATGTAAAAAACGAATTTGGAGAATCAAATGCCAACCTAAATTTAAATATTGAAGCGGAAGCGGAACCCGATGGCGAAGGGCCAACTTTCGTAGAAAAACCACGTATCGTATCTGAAAATAGCGGAAAACTCATAATAATGGAATGCAAAGTCAAAGCTGATCCGAAACCAAAAATAGTGTGGTATAGAAATAACGAGATCGTAAACGAAAATAACAAAATTAAAATGTCTGTTGAGCAGCGGGGAGACCATTACTATATTAAACTTGAAATGATAGATCCCCAAATAGAAGATTCTGGACTTTACAAATGTAATATAAAAAATAACTTGGGCGAACTTAACGCAAACCTAACGTTAAATATTGAAAGTAAGTTATTGAATTGTAAGATTAATCAAGTCTTCATATAATTATATTATAATCTTAAATATTTCAGTCATTCCTGTTATTAAAGACAAACCGAAAATTATTAAGATTATAAAGAAACGAACAGTTGTAATAGAATGTACAGTTGCTTCAAAGTACGAACCCAAGTGCACGTGGTTTAAGGAATCGAATATTGTAAAGGAAAGCAGTCGCCACGTTTGCAAAGTGCAACGATCCAAAGAAGGTGAATTTGCTGTACAACTGGAAATAAACGACGTTGATGAAACTGACAAGGGCGCTTATAAATTGGTTGCAAGCAATGAAAAAGGAGAGGCTGTTTCCCAAATTGTCCATTTAATAGATATACCTGAAGCGGAACGTAAGCCAAAAAAACCGGAGATTGATAGAAAATTAACAGATCAAAGAATTGTTGAGAGCAAATCCTTCGATTTAACAATAAAATTGAAAGAAACAGATCGTAGCTGTAAAATTGAGTGGTACAAGGGAAGCGCTCTAATTCGAGAAACCAAAGAGATAACTACAACTTTTGATGGTACAACCGCACGCCTGACCTTTAGTGCAGCACGTGTGGAGCATACGGCTTCATACAAAGTTATTGTTAGTAATGAGGTTGGTAAAGCTGAAAGCACTTGTAAGGTAGTGGTAGAAAAGAAGCAAGAAAAATCCCAAAACGAGGAACAAGCTGATGTTAAGAGAAAGGTAAGCATACCGGTTGTCAATAGTTGTAAACATTAACCATAAATTAACATATATTATAGAACATTAGCTTATAAACTAGTTGTCTCTTCGTCGAAATATTAATACATACAATTAATTGCAATGTTAATGATCCACTCCACCAAAATTTAGATAATTATCCCGTTTTCAAATTTGTTTGTAATTTCGGAAATTACGAAATATGTCGGTAATTTTTCGATAAAAATAAGATAGATAAAATAGGGATAATTGACTCGTCTAACGATTATTCGACTTTTCATAAGGGTAGCCTAAAGCGAATAAGTAGTATGTGAATATCGAGATGTTTTTAGCTACTTCCATAATGTTTTCCAAGAAAAATTGTTCTATTATTTAATGGCAAAAATATGGTTTGCGTGGTAGATCAAATTCAGTTCTTCCATTTGAAGGTTGAAAATGGTGCTGCTACGGCTCGATGAGTTCTGTCTTGGTATTGAAATTTAAGTTGCTTCTTTTTTTCTACCATTAAAGCAGGTTTCCTGAATTTACGTCCAGTTTCATAGGACATGTATAAATCCAGATTGAGGGGAATGCTAGTATTTTTTTTGCCAATTTTGTTATAAAGTAGTTTTTTTTGATTTAACGATCGAATGATGTCAGGCCTTTTTTTACTCAACAACTCTTGAAATAACAACACTTATATGGTTTGGACAAAACCTTTGTTATAGCATTAATTTTAAACCAAGGTGGAACTGGTATTAATTTTTATTGAGATCTTGCTTGGAATTGTACTTGCGAGGAATGTTGTCTTCACCAATAATATCAGTCACAGCACCAAACAAAACATTGTTGGGGAATCCTCTTTTAATACCATCCCTCACAGTATGGAGGGTATATTAGTTTGTCATTCCGTTTGTAGCACCTCGAAATATACATTTTAGACCCCACAAAGTTGATCAGCATAAAATTACATCGATTTAGCGATGTCCGCCCGTCTGTGGAAATCGTTTTACCTTCCTTCCTTCCTTCCTTAATACAATTTTACTCAGATGTGTGTTTGTTCTATTATTGTTTTTGTATTGAAAATAGGCTATATAGGACCACGTCTTCGTATACCTCCCTTACAATGGTACCTCCCTATATTCGGTATTTGAGGATATAATCGATATTATTCACTGTAATTGTTTCAAATGTCGTATTTGAAGTTCCAAATGGGTACTACCGCCTGTGGCAGGTCCACGTCTTTGTAATAACTCCCAAACAGTTTTCTTTTCTTTTAATTTGCAAATTTCTTCTGAATGTGCTCATTAAACCGATGCTTGAGATAAAAATACTGCAACAAAGTCAAACGCCATAATTTTTAATTTTTTTTTAAATTTCATTGAACGAATGGAATATTGCTATATGTTCAGCTCACGAGCCATTTTCGGCCTACGCAACGCGGTTTCGATCATGTCGCTTCATTACTTTTCGTACCATTTCGGCTGATGTTGCTGTCTTCTTCCGTCCACTACCTTGACGTCGGGCTACGCTACCAGTATCACGGTAACGAGCGATGGTACGAGACACAAAAGATTTATTCAAATTTAAATGCTGGAGCGCTCTAACGATAGCCACTTGTGGTTTTCCAGTCAAATATAAAGAAATCACACTACCACGCTTGAATTCCATCACGAATAATTTTTTTCCGGAAAATTCTCACCAAAATTCTGTTGTACGCTTGTGAACAATATAATGAGCTGTCACTGGAATAATTTTAACAGCTGTCGGACGAGTGACGTAGAAATGATCTCAAGATCTCTTGCGAAGATGATATATATCTGCGATCTATATCGTCAACAACCTCCCGATATTCGGCTGTTGACGATATAGACCACATTCTCCAAAAGAACTCTTTGAAATTCAGTACATAGAGTTTGTAACGGGTTCTAGCTCCTGTGACGCAACATTGTCTATATAGCTCAACCTTTTCTTAAAGACCCCATACAACAGTACCTCCCGATACGTGAAGTGACTTCCTCGTTAATAGAGCCACCAATCCTCATCAGTTCCCTTGTTTTTTGTCTGAAATATTCTCCCCAGAAGTTATTTTAAAAATAACTTCTATTACAAAAAACATTTTTTACGAGAGAGAGAGAGAGAGAGACGAGATCGTAAGCACAATAAAAGAGGAACCAAAGAATTAAATAAAACTAAAATTCTTTTGGAAAGTCTACTAAATCTTGCAAATCTTACAGAAGACATTAAGACAAGAAGACAGAAACATTACCATCGTTCTCCACTAATAAACAAACGTTGTTTTTATAAAAACAACAATAAAGGGATAAAACCTAACCATTTTGCAACAACAAAATACTACGGTATCCCGAACAAACAAGCCAATACTGTTATTACATATTATCTTTGGAGTAAGGGATCTATAACAGTATGCGGCTATGTCAGTGTTATTCTTATTATTGATAGTTTTCTTAATTAGTATGTTGTTGGTATGTAGCTTTTTTAGTGGTAGTTAATTTACAATAGCAAAATATATATGTAAATTATTAGTCATTTTTGAACGTTTATATATTTATTTGATATTTAATTCTTCAAATGTCTATCATCTGCACTGTAACATAACATAATAAAGGAGGAAGAAGAGGTGATCCAAAAGAAAGAAAATATTGACGTCGAAAAATCAAAGGGTGCAGATGCCGAAAACAAAGACAAGAAAGAAAGTAAAAAGACAAACGAAAACGAAAAAAATGAAATTGAAAAAAAAATCGAAAACATTCCTGATAAGGTGAGTAAATTTTAATTGACAATTTTGAGAACTCGTGACATGTATAAATGGCAGTTTGCATCGGACTTGAAGGAATTTGGGTGAAGATATATATATATATATGCTCAGAATTACCCTTGACTTTTATATATATATATATATATATATATATATATATATATATATATATATATATATATAGAAAGAATTGAAAAAAAAATCGAAAACATTCCTGATAAGGTGAGTAAATTTTAATTGACAATTTTGAGAACTCGTGACATGTTTTTTTGGTATAAATGGCAGTTTGCATCGGACTTGAAGGAATTTGGGTGAAGATATATATATATATATATATATATATGCTCAGAATTACCCTTGACCTTGTTATATATATATATATATATATATATATATATATATATAAATATATATATATATATATATATATATATATATATATATATAAATAAATATATATATATATATATATAAGATACGAAAAATCAATCACGAAGAAGAAAAAAGAAAAATCACGACAAAAAGGAGACTATCCCATTGCAAAATTCTAAAATCGGGAAAAATCGATAACATTTTTTTCCATACAATCGAGTTTCAAAATGATAGCTCATTCTATTGGCAAAACTTCATAACGGATTTCAACAATTCACACCAATTCGGAATGGTTTCTTGGCAAAGATAAAACATAAAAAATCCATTAAAAAAATATTAAATCGAACAACACATCTAGGTAGAGTTAATATAAAACATGGGCCTACTAATTTTGTATGGCAAAATTGCATCCAATAAGAGTACAAAATGCTGAATTGGAGCTCATTTGGTCACAAATTAGGTAATTAAGAAAGGGATCTGGGAAGTGCCGGCTATTGAGGGTCAAATTTTTGATCTATGTTTTCCGAAAACCTGAAATACTAATTTGATTGGTAACAAACAAAACAAAGAATCAAAAAATTTCGCAGAAACATGCAAAATGAGGAGTGTCGCAGGAACCGAGGCGAGTGTATATAAGGGACATAGGGTAATAGACAATAATGTTTCTCTCTGGATCCCCAACGAATATTTTGTGGTGTAAGAAATTCATAGCAAAATAATTTACCCCGATCATATGATGCATAAACGATGAGGTGGACGAAACTGTACATAGACTTTATTATACAAATAATTCAAATAGACCGATGACATACAAATACTTGGGGTAACTGTCTTCAAGGTGCTTAAAAAAGGCCGGTATCAGAAATGTTTGCAATGGGCGTTTATTTCCATTTTTATTTTACTACCGATCATGTAAATGAAAACTCCTAACTGCAGAACATATCTCCTAATAGAGAAATAATATTGGTTATGGAAGGTGCAATACAGGTGTTCATTTAAAATTTTATTTATTTGCCATGTAAGTGAGCTCCTTAAAAAAACAAAAGAAAAAAATCAATATAACCTACATATCAAAGAAAACACCTATAATCTTAAACTATTAAAAGCGGCGATTTGATAGATTGACAGCAGCAGTTTTTAGTTAAGTTTTGTGCTATTTTCAAACAGAGATTTCATACGATTATTACTTATATGGTTAAGACAATTTAATTTGAAGATTACAATGTTTTTAAAAATAAGCATTAAACACTAAAAATTAGGGCCAGCAACGCGGTAGCGAAATGAGAGAAATCGAGAACATTTTTCAATGGAATCGAATTTTAAAATAATGGCGGATTCTAAAAGCAAACATCGTAAGGACCTTTAAAGATTTGCTGTAAAAAATCCGCAAACAAGTTTAAGGATTTATTTTTTCTCCTTTTTCCTTTGTATAGCCTACTCCACACTGTGGTCAGGGTATTATGTCTGTGTGAATTTGTTTGTAACATGGAGAAGAAAGCGAGTTAAACCCATAATTCCTTTTGATGATCTGCATAGATTTCTGAGTCGATTTATGCATGCATACATTTCTCCTTTACTTCGTAACAACGATATTCGGAGTAGTATATTAAATACAACTCAGAAATACTTTTGCCAAATATTATCGAGATCGGTTTAGATTTGGATATAGCTCCCATATATATATTTTCTCGATTTGAAGTTTATTGTGCACCAATTGTTAAAATAGGCCTGAATTTGCAGAAATGTATAAAATTTCTGTCTACATTGCCTGTCTACATTTCAAATAAAACTTTTATTTGTTATATGTCGACTTTTTTTTGAATTCTAAATTCATAGGACCTACATCGTACTGCTGCTAAAAATGCGAAATGAAGAGGCATGATCGAATTCTATATTTAGTAAGAAAAGGATTTATATCCTCCGAAAATTCTTCCAAACCCTTTAAGATACCTTTAACTGCAGGAACCGTTATATGGGATCTATGCGCCATCGTGAGTAATTACACTGCTCAACAGACAATCTTTGGGTTTGGGAAATTCTAAGTGAGTAGTATTCGTTTAATAGATAAAATTCCCAAAAGAATTTTGTGTTCCCAGGCCACGACTAGACATTAGTTTTCGATAATTTTAGAAATAAATTAAACAATACGATCACTTACATTAAATAAACTACTGTTTTTTGTAGTTTGACTTTCCGATGGTGAACACTATGAAACCAATTATGATTCGGGTCATTAGTATTGATAACTCGGGTCATATTATTAATAAAAATAAGACCTTACAAACATTCAGTTCATAAACAAGTAGACGTGGTGAATAAAATTTTCGAAAAAGTGAGCATTTGTTAAAAAAATAATGGATAAGCTCAGAAAATGTCGCAAAATGATAGTCATCCTAATGACTTAATTATACATAATTTACTAATTTTATTTTTTAATTAAATTGCCACCATTACCATACTGTTTCGCAACTGACATGCTGTATTTTAATCTAAGGTGGTCGAAAAAACGAAAGAAAGTGCTAATGTACCGGAAAATACTTTAAAATCAAATAGTATCAAAGAGAAAGAGAACACTAAAAATGAGCCCGAATCTAATTTATCAAGTAATGGTACCCATGATGATGAAAACATTCCAGAAAAGGTAAGCCAATCGACTTAATCTGCTGAAATGTTGAATGCTGCTTGTCAAATTTTGAATTATATATGTGCTCTAACAAATGTTTTTTTAAAGTGTTAACCATATATTGAGTTACTATCATATTATAGATTACTGTATTAATCCTGAAATATTTGCTATTTACTTATTAAACTATAGGCTACAGCTCTAAAGTCGAAAGTTGATCATCAGATAATTAAAATTAAAATAAATTTAAATGGTTAAAATTATACTCAATATAGTTTTGTGAAGTATAATTCTTATGACTTTAAATACTACTTTTTTCTTCATAACGGATTAACCGAGAGATATTGGTCAAGACAAAATTGTCTACGCGTTAAATGATTGAATTAGGCCTATTTGACATTATTACATTATTGTAATACTTTTTAGCGACAAATGTCAGCAGATCAACGACATATTTAACCCAGTACAGAAAGGACAAAAGTAAGGCTCACCTGATATGACATATGTCTAAATCTGAGCACAATTTAGATAATTTAGAATTCCTGGATGCATGTATGTGATATTTTTACCTAATATTAAAAGGCATATTACAGTTTTGGGAATACTATAATAACAAAACGTGCATATTTTAAAACAATCCTTTAAAAACTACAGATGTTCTATTAAATTGTAGGAAAAACGAGAATTATTCCAATATCGCAAAGATTTCTGTTACAATTTTTGCACATATAGCATTTTCAAATGAAATTAAAACTTTTGCAATGGAAACAAAATCATTTGCAATTGAAATGAACCCTTCTGCAATTGAAATGAAACTTTTCTTCAAATCAAATAAAACAAAAAACTTTGAAATGCGAAAAGTATCTTTATTATAATGTCTTATAGTTATAGCAAATTATTTATCTTACCTAATAAAAAGATTTCCTTTCCACGAAGCATAACACAGTGTACTTGATAGACCGAACCACTCAAGAGCTTTCACAACAAGACTGTTCTATGTACACAATGAATCTGGTGTTAAAAAGAAGTGGAACACATGTAGCCATGTGAAACGGAAACCTCTTTATTAGGCAAGATTAATAATTTGCTGTAACTATAAAATATTATAATAAAACCAAATACAAATGTTTTGTAAGGAATCAATAAAACATAATTTATTAAAACAAAAATTAAAAAATTAAGAACTAATAGTATGAAACAAAGATATTAATAATCTATAAAAATTCCTCTTCACCGACATTTTAGTAATAATTGGATAATTGAATGTTAAACTTACTACAAATAAAAATGTTTTGCTATGTTCTTTCTATAAATCTGAAAGTTTCAATTTATTTGAAAAATGTTTCATTTCCGCTGCAAAAGGTTTTATTTTTATACCCTCCACCATACATAGTATGGAGGGTACATTAAGTTCGTCATTCCGTTTGTAACTTATCGAAATAATCATTTTAGACCCAAACAAGTAAAAAAGCTGTAAGTTCGGCCGGGCCGAACATTTAATACCCTCCACCATTTGGTACAAATTTGGCAATTTCCAAAAAATAAAATCCGTTAAAAATTCTGTTAATATCTTAAGAATGCGGAATGCTTATACTACGACGTGGGCCTGCATAGGCAATTTTTGTCATAAGTTATTACAATATTTAAATGCGAAACTTGAAGAAAAATCAGTTTATAATGTAGCTAAAATAATTAAAATACCGTATATGGGGGTACCGTTATATGGGGGCTATACGAAGACGTGGACCTGCACAGACAAATTTCTGCCATGGGCTGAAGCATCCATTACGAACTTCACATGCCGTATTTGAAACAATCCCGGTAAATAATGTCGCTAAAATCATCAAAATACCGAATATCGGGGGGAACGGTATATGGGGGCTATATGAAGACTTGGACCTATATGGCCCATTTTCTGTTTTATGCTGCAGTATCTATTACGAACTTCAAATACCAAATTTGGAACGATTTCGCTAAATAATGTCGCTAAAATCATCAAAAAATAAAATCCGTTAAAAGTCCTGTTAAAATCTTAAAAATACCGAATGCCTATACGACGATGTGGACCTGCATAGGCAACTTTTGTCATAAGTTATTACAATATTTAAACGCGAAACTTGAAGAAAAATCTGTTTATAATGTAGCTAAAATCATCAAAACACCGAATATAGGGGGTACCGTTATATGGGGGCTATACGAAGACGTGGACCTGCACAGACAATTTTCTGGCATGGGCTGAAGTATCCATTAAGAACTTCACATGCGAAATTTGAAACAATCCCGGTAAATAATGTCGCTAAAATCCTCAAAATACCGAATATCGGGGGGTATGGTATATGGGGGTTATATGAACACGTTGACTTATATGGCCCATTTTCTGTTTTATGCTGTAGTATCTATTACGAACTTCAAACACCAAATTTGGAACGGTTTCGCTGAATAATTTCGCTAAAATCATCAAAATACCGAATATCGGGGGGAACCGTTATATGGGGGCTATATGAAGAAGTGGACCTACATGGCTCATTTTTTGACTTGGGATGTAGTATCTATTACGAAGTTCAAATACCAAATTTGAAACGATTCCGGTAAATAATGTCGCAAATATCATCAAAATACCGAATATCGGGGGGTACCGTTATATGGGGGCTATACGAAGACGTGGACCTACATGGTCCATTTTCTGTTTTATGCTGCAGTATCTATTACGAACTTCAAATTCAAAATTTGGAACGATTCCGTTAAATAATGTCGCTAAAATCATCAAAATACCGAATATCGGGGGTACCATTATATGGGGGCTATACGAAGACGTGGACCTACATAGATTATTTTCTCTCTTAGGCTGTAGTATCCATTACGAACTTCAAATGCTAACTTTGAAACAATTCCGGTGAATAATGTCGCAAAAATCATCAAAATACCGAATATCGGGAGGTACCGTTATATGGGGGCTATATGATTTCTTGGACCTACATGACCCATTTACGAACTTAACCTGCCTACTGGCAAAATATACATGTGTGCAAAATTTTAGAATTCTATTTCAATTTGTTCGAAAGATAGCATGATTACAACAGACAGACAGACGGACAGACAGACAGACAGACACACAGACAGACAGACAGACAGACAGACAGACAGACACACAGACAGACAGACGGACATGGCTAAATCGTCTTAGAATTTTACGCTGATCAAGAATATATATGCTTTGTTGGGTCTGACATGAGTATTTCGAGGAGTTACAAACGGAATGACAAAATTAATATACCCTCCATAGTATGGTGGAGGGTATAAAAAGTATATATATTCTTGATCAGCGTAAAATTCTAAGACGATTTAGCCCTGTCCGTCCGTTTGTCCGTCTGTTGTAATCACGCTACAGGCTAAACGTATTAAGATAGAAAGCTTAAATTTTGCCCAGATCTCTCTTTTGTCTGCAGGCAGGTCTAGTTCGAAAATGGACTATATCGGTCCACGATATCGTATAGCCCCCAATAACGTTACCCCCGATATCCGGTATTTTGATGATTTTAGCCACATTTTTCAATGGAATTGTATGAAAATCCACACAAGCAGTTCTCTAAGAGTACTTTATCCCTTGGCAGATAATTATATATTTACCCCCTGAAAGGGAACTGTCTATATAGGTCCAAAATATCGTATAAACCCCATATAACGGTATCCCCCGATATTCGGTATTCCGATGATTTTAGCCACATTTTTAAACGGAGTTGTCTTAAATTCTATACACGGAGTTATTTGTGAGTACTTTATCCCTAGACATAGATTTGTCTCTATAGGTCCACAATATCGTTTATCCCCCCATATATCGGCACCTTCCGAGATTTTAACAGAATTTTTAATGGATTTTAGTTTTATTTTTTTGAAAATTGCTTCTCTAAGACCAAGTATATACATAGAGTGGTTGACATTAACAACAACACAGGTTCCGAGTAAATTTTGTGTAATGGCTCATACATATTTGTTATATTAAGTTTGTCATTCCGTTTCTAACTCATCAAAATAATAGTTTGGTCTATTATCTTGATCAGCATAAAATGCTAAGTCGATTTAGTTATTTCCGTCCGTCCATATGTCCGTCTGTTGTAATCACGCTAGAGTCCAAAGGACATATCATGGGAAGCTAGAATTTTGCACAGAGTTGTCTTTTGTCTGCAGTCAGGTCAAGTTCGAAGTTGAGCTGTGTCGGTCAACGTTTTCGTATAGCCCGCATATAATTGTACCTCCCCATATTCGGTACTTTGACGATTTCAGCCACATTTTTTTGCGTAATAGTTTAAAATTCGGTATTTAGGGCTTATATTGGGGTCTACCTCCTGTAGCAGAATTTTTTCTTTATAGACCCACTATTTCGTATAGTCCAAATATAATTGTTACTCCCGATATTCGGAATGTTGACGATTTTCAAACGGAGTAGATTAGATTATTAACACTCTGTATTTGGGTCTACCTTTTGTGGCATACTTTTTCTTATAGGTCCATAGCCCCATATAAAGGTATCTCTCGATTTTCGATATTTTGACGGTTTTAGCCACATTTTCTAATGGAATAGGTTAAAATTCGGTATATAGAGTTCATAATATGTTCATAATACGTGGCAGAACATTGCCTCAGAATTTAGGCTCAATTTCTGGCGAAGTTATGTAAAATTCAATTAAAGTGTGTGTAGAAAACATATTGATGCACAAGTTTATCTTCGATTCTAAATGATGACCAGCGTGACCGTTGTGCCACTAAAGTATGAATTTTGCCACCTTTTTTGGGCTTTGATACCTTTGTGCCACTTTTTTATTTTGATCCTAAATGAGCAACTTTTTTGAATTTTTGTGCCACTTTTTTATACATTGTGCCACATTTTCTTAAACTACATATATTTTAATCTAAACGCTGTATTTAAAACAATGAAGTGAAATGAAACAATGAAAAGCGTCGTACGCTGCCATTTCCAATTTGCGATAGCAAATTTCAGAGCGAACGCTCTTATATTAGGT